AGGGAACCCAGGAGTCCTGCTGTCACGGAGTGTGGGGGAGTCAGGGCCCTGCACCCCTCTTCCTGGGATTCACCGTGACTCTCAGCCAGCCAGTAAAACGGACGGTTTAGTGGCCAGTAGGAACTCAGGCTACAACAGAGCTTGTAGGTACAGCCAGGACCCCTCGGTCAAGTCCTTCTCGGGGGTTCAGGGAGCTTAGACCCCAGCCTGGGGGTTCCCTGCCTTCCACCACCCAGCACCAAACTGAAACTACCCAAACCCCTCTAGCAGCTCTCTCCCCCCTCCCCCCAGCTCCTCCTCTCCTTTGTCCAGTCTCCCACCCCCCCTCCTGGCTCAGGTTACAGCTCAGGTAGCTTCCTTCCCATCCCCAGTGTAACCCCCCTGCGACATTCCCAGGACAAATCCGCCTGCTCCCTGCTCCATCACCCCAGGTCACCCAGAGATGGCCTGTGACACTGACTCTTGATCTAAAGTGCTCTGCGGGGGATGAATGATTATCCCCATTTTATAGGTGGGCAAACGGAGGCCCAGCGAGATGCAGCGACTTGCCCACAGTCGCAGAGCTGGGAATTGAATCCAGATCCCACTGGAGCGTCTTACAATCTAAACAGACCAAGGGTGGGAGGGGAAACTGAGGCAGGGAGCGGGGAAATGACTGGCCGGAGTTGGGGGAGGGGTCACCCAGCAGGTTATTGGAGAACCCAGGTGTCTTTGCTCCCAGTCCAGTGCCTAAGCCGCATGGCCAGCCGGCCCCTCTGTGGGTCCTGCCCCACTTCCCCATGTCTGCAGGAGGGTTGAGCGGCTGAAAGACGGGAAGGGGCGGGGGAGGTGGGGGGGATTCCTTACCGTTTCCTTGGGTGAAGCGGAAGACCACAGGCAGATCCCCGCGCCCGCTGAACACCTCGGCCTGGTCCACCAGGGCCTCCTTCACCGCCTGGTAGCCGCACAGCACCACCACCCGCTGGGGGCCCAGGTGGAGGGTGTAGACGGGCCCATAGCGCTCGCTTAGCTGCAAACACAGAGCGACCCAAAGGTCAGAATATGGGGCCCCGAACCAAACATAACCACACCCCCTCGCTCCAGCCACTAGTCCCCACTCCCCTCCCAGAGCTGGGGAAAGAACCCAGGAGTCCTGGCTCCCATCCCCCTGCTCCAGCCACTAGCCCCCGCTCCCCTCCCAGAGCCGGGGAGAGAACCCAGGAGTCCTGGCTCCCAGCTCCCCCTGCTCTAGCCACTAGCCCCCACTCCCCTCCCAGAGCCGGGGAGGGAACCCAGGAGTCCGGACTGCATGTGACCTAGTGGCTGTTAACACTCGAGCTGCTCGGGGAGTTTCCAGCAAACCGGGTTTTACTGGGAAATGCCGACCTGTGAAACGGTTTGGACGAAATCCGCCCGGTTTCCTAGCAGACAGCGAGGGGGGCTGAGCTCACGGGCTCCCCAGCTCCAGGGCAGGACTCCCCCCAGACTGCCCGATCTCGGCAACCTACTGACCCCGCTGCCCCACTAGCCGAGCAGCGCAGGAAGCCAGCTGGCCCAAGAGCCTGCAGCCCTGGGGTCCCCGGCCTGGCGCAGTGCACCTGGCGGAGGAGCTGCTGGCCCTGGCACATGGCTGGCCTCAGTTTCTCTGCTGCTATTCAGTGGGGTCAGGCTGAAACCGACCAGAATCACGTCCATTTCATGAGCTGCCCATCCTAGGTTTGGTGTCATAGTTTTAGAGACGCCAAGGCAAGAAGTGACCATCTAGTCGGTCCCCCTGGCCAGAGCGAGTCCTAGCGCAGAGCTTTCAGCAAAACCAGCCCGTCTCGATTGAAAATGGGCAGCGAAAAAACCAAACCAAAGCAAAACCCTGTTTCCAAAACAAACGTTTTTGGGAATTTCTCTTTGGAACAAAACCAAAATAGCAAAACTTCCCAGGAACCGGAAATTCCAAGTTTCGGCCAGTTCTAGTTAGCATCGGGGGGGGGGGGGCAGTAACTGGGCATCAGGACTCCTGGGTTCCATTCTGGGCTCTTCCAC